TCTCTCTCTCTCTCTCTCTCTCTCTCTCTCTCTCTCTCTCTCTCTCTGTCTCACTCTCTGTCTCTCTTTCTCTCTCTCTCTCCCTCTCTCTCTCTCTGTGTGTGTGTATGGAGCTTGAAACTATGGCTCACTGTGGCAGTATGGGGGTAGAACCTGACCATCAAATCCAAATGTCATTTTTCTTTTGAGATGTCTGTAAATGCAATTCAGCACTTCAAAACAATCTAGCTTAAAACTGACCAACTAATGCATCCACTCAACTCCTAGCCATCTAGTAATGGCTGGAGGCCTTTTGAAATAGGAGTTTTTGCTTATCATTTTTCAGTAGGTCTTTGAAGCTAACACAAGAATAGATTTTTTCTTCTCCTAAATCCACAGGAGTAGTTATATAGAACAGAAGTCCCTAACATTTCTCATGGTGAGAAGCTATAATCTTGACTTTCGAGGCTCATAGATCCAGGAGAGGAAACCTGAGAGGCCATTGATTCCAAATCCTCATTTTAGAGTTGAACAAAACTGAAACCTAGAGAGGCTAAATGGATTGGCCAGCATTAGAGTTATTGTTTGGGGTGGGACCTGAACCCAAAGGCCTTCCTGACTCTAAGTCCAATTCTCTCTTCAGAATACCACATTGTCCTTAAGTCTTGTTTCAGAAATTTTTTGCTGCTTGCAAGGTGGTGGAGGCTCTGCTCTAAGGGCCAGTTGCTGATGGCTGCATTCTCTATCTTGCAGGGAATCTCAGGATGGGAGAGGGAAGGAAGATAAGCACGGCACAACTTGGGTGGATTGTGATTTGCATCATTGGAGGGAATATCCAAATCTGATAGATTCAATTTGATCAATGTGAGTATTGAATTTTTGAAAGTGAATGAGTACCATAGCAAAGATGGGAGCAGAAGATGGGGAAGGACTACAGCTGAGGAGAGATCATGAACATGGCAGCCATGGTGTCATGAACCCTTGCATCCCATCTGGACCTCATAAGATAGATGGATAGATAGACAGACAGACAGATAATGTATATGTGTACCTCTCTTTTTTTCTTTACACACACACACACACACACACACATGCATATGTATATATCCCAGACAAACTGTCGGCTACTTTTCAGCATCCACTCCTTTGCCTGTGAGTACAAAGCATGTCATCCTGCTCTACTAGAGAGTTAAGAAGAGGGATTGAAGAGGGATTGAATTTGATGCTTATGCCACTGGAGATGTAGGAGATTTGCATCCCTTTGTATATTAGATTGTAAGCTCCTTGAGGATGCCAGTCTTTTGCCTTTTATTTTTGTATCCCCAGTGCTTAGCACAGCATCTGGCACATAGTAGACATTTAATATTAATTGATAGATTGATGGGTACAAAAAAGTTTGACTCCTTGACCTACTTTCCTTTTTCTAATGTTACTTCATGTTTCAATGAAATCATTTTCCTCTTGGATACATGTATCTCCACTACACCCAGCAATAACATGAAACACTGGGTAAGGGCTCAGGTGTGGTTTGAAAGTTATCATCCCAAAATGTTAGGGTTGCCACTGATGGAACTACTCTATGGCAGAACGTGATGTACAAAGTCAAGGCTCTAGGATAGTATTTTATACTTACCATTGGTTTATAGATTGTAGAGCTAGAAGGGACAGTAAGAGACCATGTGGCCCAGGCCTCTATCTTCAAATGGGTAAACTTTATTTTACAAATATGTTAAGTAAGGCCCCAAGAGAAGCAGTGATTTATCCAAAGTCATATAGTAAATTAGTGGCAGAGCTAGGACTAGAAAGTAGGTCTTGTGTTTCTTAGCATCAAGCTTCTTCCACTATACCTTGTTTCCTATGGCCTCAAACTAGACATGACAATGGCTAGGAACCCAAGGGAGAAGCCTGTCATTCATTACACAGAGAAATGACATTTTTATTTCCACCACAATAAAAGATCAGAGTTCATGTATATAATGGTTGCTCATCATTGTAGCATTCCCATGGAATGCTTATGGCCAGTGACTTATTGTGCAGTCAGCAGATGCATGGATTCTTGTGGAATAGCTGGTGGACAATTGTGACTGTGTTCTGAATACTTAAGAGTGGGGTGAAGTTTAGGAAACCAGATTTCAAGCAGACAGGACTTTTGAGCACATGGATTTGTTTCAACTGGCTGATGCTGCTTAAGTCAAGAGCAAGATAAGAGTCCCATGTGTCTTATCTCCCTATATAGTTTGTGCAGGGCAGTGGTTCAAGGTATTTCTTAGGTCTGCAGGGTCCTTGATACTGTGTTGGAAAGTCATAGAGTGAAGAGGTTCCATAACCACCTCCACAGGGTCTTCTAGTGGAATCTTCATCTGTAAAATAAAGTTGTTAGTTTTTAGTTCAATGACGAAACTGCTTTTAGCCCTGGTGTTAGACTAGGAGCCAGCTAATGAATATGTCTGTGGAAAACAGGTTCAACCTGATTTGATAAACAAAAGAGGATACTTACATTGATCTTTTGGTTTAAATCTTGGGCAAAACTCAGGAGGTACATGGGAAGTTTTAAATGGCTTATCTCCCATCAGGCTGCAGTTGAAATAGAAACCGCAATATTAGTTCAAAATATGCCCAGAGGGCTTCCATATCTTACAGCCAATTGATGATTTTCCTCCTTCTGAATTGTGTTTTTTTGTAGATCTGTGGACACAACTGGAAGTCATTCCAGTCCCTCCCCATCTTCTCTCCAGCTGAGCTACGACTAGAGTTCCACTCTGAAGTGGCAGGGTTGTTAGATATCACCCTCATTTGCCCCTAAGGACAGTCAATTCAGCAATCAACCCCTCTTCTCTTCACAAGGAACAGTGAAGTCTCAGTCACACTGTCTGGGGACAAGGGGACATCTTACTGCTGTCTTGGGTTATCCTCCAAGATGTTGAGTATTAACTGCAAAGAGCAAAAGCATGTACACCTTTGCAGCAGATTTAGCTATAGATATAGACACATTTGGAATATGAACAAATTACTTTGGATTTCAAGTGCTTCTCCCTGTTGCTAACCACTGCTAACTTTTTCAGGTGAGTCTTACCTCTGATATTTTTTGAGTGGACCTTTTTTGTGTGTTTCTGTTATATTTAGGAAATCTTCATAGCTCTGTTTTGCCATCACGTGATGACGTACAGCACAGCCAAGTTCCGTAACCCTGGCTCTTGGCAGATAACCAGCCCAGCCAGGTATGGGGGGCTCCTGTAAAGGCTTCTTGTTATGATCAGCTTCTGCAAAGGGATAAAATCACACTTAAAAGCAATACCCCCTAGTTAATCAGTACTCAAGCACCCTCTTAAATTGCTAAGGATCCAAAAGTTCAAGCTGATAGTCATGTAGGGCCTAAGCCAGAAGGTCTGTGCTCAAAATGGGCTTTTCTTTATAATAAAAATGCTTCAGAAGCCACTCAGAAAATTTTTTTTTACATATATTCATCATGAGTCATGTAGAGGGGCAGGAAATTTGCCCTATGAAAATCAACTAATCAATCAATCATCTAGTGTTTATTAAGCAGTTATGTGACAGGCAGTGTGCTTGTAGATAGGAAGAACAGCTCAAGGTCTCAAAGATCCTACATTTTATTTGGGAGGTAACATTTACATATATTAGTATAGGCAAAATGCATGCAAATAAATATAAGAAAATGCCATGATGGAAAGAGCCTTGACTTTGGAGATTGATACCTGGGCTCAAATCCTACTTCTGTCACTTATTACCTGCGTGACTTTGGACAAATCGCTTCATCTCTCCCTAGGTCTCACTTTTAGATGAGGTGTGTGTGTGTATGGGTGTGTGTGCATGTGTGTGTGTGTGTGTGTGTGTAATTATATAGCCTCCAATTACATTATTATCTAATTTATCTAATATCTAATAATACATAATTAATTATGTTATGTTGTTATATCATATCATATCATATCATACTATATCACATTATATCATATCATATCATACCATATTATATTATATTGCCTCTAATTCACCTATTCTTTCCACCTATAGACCCATGATCCTAGAATTTTCTCTCAGATCCCACACAGGTAGGTTTCCCAAAGTATATGTACATAGGTTTTTCCTAACCTAGAATGGCTGGTCCCCTACCAATAATGTAAAAATGTTACATGAATTAGGCTCCTATTTCCTTACTCACCACTCCCAAAATTTATTTAACCTATAACATCCCTGAAATATAATATTTAAAATATTATTTCAAGTATACAAAATCACAATGTATAACATTATTATTATAGGAAAATGCTTTCTGAGAAAAAAATATTCCTTCTTCTATCCTCCTAGCAGTAATAATGACGATAGCAACAGTATCAGGAGGCAGTAGCTCCCGTGGGAAAAGATAAAGAAAGAGGAAGAAGGTGGGAGACATGTTTTCAGATGTCAAAGCAAACTTAATTCTATACATCTGCATAAGAGTAGTATCTCTCTTTTGGTCAAGTCACTTTTCATGTTCTGTATTGGGAAAAAGTAGAAGGTGGCTTTCAACTATCCTCTTCACATCCAGCCTGGGTGAAATTGGAAGACCAGTCTTTAAAAAAAAAAAAAAAAAAAAAAAAAAAATATATATATATATATATATATATAATATATATATGCGTGTGTGTGTGTGCGTGTATACAAATATATCATATATGTATACATACACACAAATACACACATACTACATATAATATGTGTATTATGTGTCTATTACACATACATATCTATATATCTATATCTATGTATTTTACTGAACCTGTGATTCAAAGGGATCTCATGGCAAGCAACTTTATCTATACATTATTACTCTACAAGCCACTACACTACACTGTCTTCTCACTACAGAAATACAAACAAAAATATGAATGAGAATTCACTTTACTTGTTGCACAAGTTGTTCTCAAATTGAGTAACTGTAAATAGGGTTTGCTTGTGTACAAAGCCTTTGTTAGAGTTCCAAGTTAGGTTAGCTAACAGTTACAATGAATCTATTTTCTTTTCATCTTCTGAGAACTAAGTCAACATTTATTCCCCTAAAAAGCTATTCTGTATCTGTCGTGTTCAAGGCATTTTAATAGATCCTGGAGGAAATAGATAAGATAGAACTTCTGCCCTCAAGCAGCTCATAATCCAGAAAGTGAAATAAACCATTAACACAAATAACCACAATAAAATATAAAGCTATAATCCCCCTAATGCTAATCATGACATGGTTTTGCCATGGTCAGGCCATATCAATAAAATAAAAATGATAATACTACCTACTTTAATTTACATATTTTATACGCCAATCAAACTAGAGATTTGACAGAGAAGAATTAAGACAAATTACAATGAAATTCATTTGGGGGAAACCAAAAGTCAAGAGTTTCTGTGAAAATAAAGGGGAAAAAAGATCCAAAATTATGAAACAAAGCAGCAACCCAACAGATAATTGGGCAAAGGATATGAACAGTTTTTGGTTTTTTTTACAAAAAGAAATGCAAATTATTAAGGACCACATGAAAAAGTGCTCCAAATAATTATTAAGAAGAGAACTGCACATTTAGCAACTCATAAGTTTTACTAACCAAATTGCCAAATATGGAAAAAGACTGAAATAAGCTAATGGTGGAGAGACTGTAGCAAAACAAACAAATCCATACAGTATTAATGAAACTGTGACTAGGTTCAACCATTCTAGAAATCAATTTTGAATAATGAAAAAATTTACTAAACTGTTCACACACTTTGATCACATTATTAAGGATTATACCCTAAAGAAATAAATGACCCCAGATTCCCATATCTACCAAAGTATTCATAGAGTTTTCTTCATAGAAGCATGGTGGTGCAGTGGATACAGCACCAGCCCTGGAGTTAGGAGGACCTGAGTTCAAATCCAGTTTCAAACACTTGACACTTACTAGTTGTGTGACCCTGGGCAAGTCACTTAACCCTATTGCCTAACAAAACAGGAAAAAACCACAGAAGCAAAAAACTAGAGACAAACTAGATGTACATCAATGGGAAAGGCTGAATAAATTATGGTATATGAATGTAATGGAATTTTATTCTGCTATAAAAATTATAAAAAGCATAGAAACATGGGAAAACTTGTATGAACTGATTTGGAGCAAAGACAGAATGAAGAGAATGATATACACAAGGACTACAATAATGGAAATGAATGCTAAAAAAAACCCCAGAATTTTACTCACGTACTTTTAGCTGGACGAATCATAGCAGACTTCATTCAGGATATAATATTAGAAGTGGGCCTTGAAGAATGGGAAAGATGTCACTAAACCAATGGGAATACTCTCCATAAACATTCTGGGACATCTGTCCCACTCTCTCTATATGGCCACCTTTGACTTTATGGTTGACAAAGCACTTTATCGGGGCAGCTAGGTGGTGCGGTGGATAGAGCACTGGCCCTGATGTCAGGAGGACGTGAGTTCAAATCCGGCCTCAGACCAAACACTTGACACTTACAGCTGTGACCCTGGGCAAGTCACTTAACCCCAATTGCCTTAAAAAAAAAAAAGGCACTTTATTTACAGTAGCTCTTTAAAGGGGCAAGTAGAAATAGTGTCTTCTTCATTTTGCAAATGGAACTCAGAGAAGTGGTTTATTCAAGATCCACATAGTTAGTAAATGTCTGATTTGGAGATGCAAATTTAGTTTTCCTGACCAAATTCTCCTTCTACTAGACCAGTGGTTCTCAAAATGTGGCCTGGAGACCCCTGGAGGGTGCCTGAGACTCTTTCAGGGGCTCATTGAAGTCAAAACTATTTTCATAATAATACTAAGATATTTTAATTTCTAACATAGTCAATATTGATAGCTATAAGCTAAAAAAAACTCTGGGTGATTCCTCAATAATATTTAAGAATGTATATTTTAAAATATTTAAGAATTTAAAACTCATATTAAAATGTAAATATTAAATATAATATTTAATGAAAAGCTTGGGTACTACAGAAGTAGACAATGAAACCTCCCAGTGTTTGGCTCTATCTCCTATTTTATCTCTTACAAGTAAGTCTACTTTTACTTCATCATTAAAGCCCTTTGCAAACCTTAGAGTGATGTATAAATGTGAGCTATTGTTAACATTATTTCTCTCCCTTCAAAAGAACCCACTCTCAAATCCCATTCCTCTACTTATGTCTGAGCTTAACTGCTGGAGATTGTGTTGCCACTTTATTTAGCAAATTTCTAATTTTCTAAGTCCTTTAAAAGGTCAGAGGTGAGATTATACATAACACAGTAATTGTTCAGTCATGCCAGACTCTTTGTGACCCCATTTGGGGTTTTCTACTGGAATGGTTTGCCATTTCCTCCTCCAGTTCATTTTACAGATAAGGAAACTCAGGCAAACAGGGTTGTGTGACTTGCCTGGAGTCACCCAGCTAGTAAGTATCTGAGATCAGATTTGAACTCGGGAAGGTGAGTCTTCCTGATTCCAGACCTGGCACTCCATCCAGTGCACAACCTAGCTGCCCTAGCACAGTAGACAGGGATAGCAAAGTGGCTAAATATATTTCCTGGAAAGGAGATGCCTGGGGAGGTCCAAAGAATACAGTTAGTCAGGGTAAAAAGCCATTCTACCCTTTCTCCTTTGCCCTCTTCTAACATAGTATTGGCATTTATCTTGCAAGTCCTAATGCAGCCCTTACCCCAGTGCCCTGAGGCCAGAGGGAGTAAGCTGAAAGATAACCAAGTACAGCCTCAAGGCTAAGAGAAATACCAGAATCTACCTGGTGGAATCACAATTTACACTCAGTACAAGAGCTTTAGACCCAGCACACTTGTTGATTAACTGATTTTACAAAGAGAGAATTCAAGACAGATAGAGATATCTGAACATGCAATAAGCTGCCTTGGGAGATAATGAGTTCCCATCACTCCAAATCTTCAAGTGATGGTTGGATGAACACGTGCCAGATGTCATTGAGGGGATTCATGGGAAATAGACCAAACAAGATGGCTTCTCAGGTGCCTTCCAACTCATATTTTATGACATGAGACAACCTATTTCATTACTGGGCAAATCAATTCAAACATTTGCACTGAGATAAATATTGGATGGGGGAAACTAGGTGGCACTAAAGTGCACAGTGCACCAGGCCTGGAATCAGGAAGACTCACCTATATTAAAAGCTACCTTACCTTCTTCTTGAACACCCTAACCAGATGTGATCTCTCTAAATCACCCTGTGCCTCTTTCTTAGGGCATGTATCACATCACCTTCTGTAGCATTACTGATGTTCCAGTCACATCTCCTCTTACTATTCTTTAATCTCCCCACACCCTTGTAGGCTTTGTGTAGGGGCAGCTAGGTGGCACAATGGATAGAGCTCCGGCCTCAGAGTCAGGAGGACCTGAGTTCAAATCCGGCCTCAGACACATGATACTTATTAGCTGTGTGACCCTGGACAAGTCACTTAACCCCAATTGCCTCACCAAAAAGAAACAAAAATAGTGGTATTTTTGTTATTGTTTTGTGGTTGTTTCCATTTTGTCTAACTCTTCGAAACCCCATTTAGGGTTTTCTTGGCAAAGACACAGGAGTGGTTCACCATTGCCTTCCCCAGTTCATTTTACAGATGAGGAAACTGAGGCAAACAGGGTTAAGTGACTTGCCCAAGGGTTACCCAGATAGTAAGTATCTGAGGCCAGATTTAAACTCAGGAAGAGGAGGCTATAAAATTCAATTACAATCTTGAAGGTAGGCTTTGTGTTTTATTTAACTAGTATAAATAACCTGCAGCAACTAAGAACTTGAAATAGATGTTCAGTAAGCATTGACTGGTTTGAGATCATTATCAGTTGTTAGAATTTAGTAGGGACCACAGGGATTGTCTAATCCCTCCCCTTTATTTTACAGATGTACTCTGGGCCCTTACAGCTTAGGCCCAGAGAAGTAAAGGTAAAATGACTGGTTCAAGGTTATATAGCAAGTTAGTGATAAAACTAGCCCTTGAACCCAGTTCTCCTAACTCCTGGCCCAATGCCTTCTTCTTCTCATCAGAATCCCGCTGCCAGCTACCTCTCTCACTTGAAACACTTTGTTTACCTGGTTCAAAAACCTAGCCTTTCACACTTCATACTTACAAGTAAAGATTCTGAAAACTGTCCTGCTCTTATTCATGAAGGTTTTCCCATTTAAAGAAAGGAATAAGTATTTTTATGGCACCTACTATGTTTACAAATATAATCTCATTTGATCCTCACAACAACCTTGCAAGATAGGTGCTATTATTATCCTCATTTTACAGTTAAGAGAACTCAGGCAGACAGAAGTTAAAGGACTTGCCCAAGGTCACACAGCTGGTAAGTGCCTGAGGCTGGATTTGAACTTGGATCATCCAGGCTCCAGGATCAGCTGCTTTATCCATTTCACCGCTTAGTGTCAGTTTACTCAGCTGTCCTTCATTTACTCATGAACCTCCATTTACTCAGTGGGCAGGCAATTTCTTGCTGCAGGTTCTGTTTCTAGGACTAAGTGATAGCAAAGTTTATTGAAAAACTGCGTACCTATATAAGTCGGGTGATAGCGGAGATAGTAATCATGTATCATCCTTAAAACTGTTTCTTTGGAACAGATTTCTTGTAGTTTGTCAGCAGTGGCTGTGTGGCATCTCAATGTGTCCAGCTGATTTTTGTGTCTCTGAGTTGTGTCTCTAAATTTTCTGATACAGTAACTGGTGTCCCTGTTGTAAGAAGTTCCCATTCTGCTGAACCAGAGAGGGATGTAACCTGCAGAAGCCAAATAAATGTAATACAGCATTTAACTTAGAAAGGAGTGGGCAAAAGGTCACCAGTAACTCTAATTCATTTCCAGGGAATGGTAAACTCAACAACATCTGGAATTTCTCACATGGCCAAAAGAACTATTTGATTTTTGCTGTATAAATGTTAACACCAGCAATGTGGTTTCACCAGCTATGCAGCCCTCCTCAGGGCTGGGGAAAAAATGACCTTGGAGGAGGGGTAGGAGGGGAAGTCCCCATTTGACAAAGATGATGACAGTGATATTCTTTTAGAGTCCATTTCCTGATGTCAACCTTAACAGCAAATGGGGGAACATTTAATGTGACAAAATGATCATTCTGAGAAACCACTGAAATTATTCATGTTCTTAGAGAGAATGCTTATTTTCTTTGATACTTCCAAAATGCAATTTTGGATCTTTCTTTTTGGCCTGTTTGGAAATTGCAGTCTTATTAAAACCAAGACCAAACACACGAAAAAGGTAAATGGGTTATATGTGAGAAACGCCCCCTGACCAATTTTTCGCCATTTCCCTCAAAGTAACATATATAATCATTAAAATTAATGTGGGTAAAACAGAATTATTTATTGAGGCTTGATGCTGAATTCTAAGCACTATAATATTGTCACGGTAAAACAATATTTTTATAAAAGGGTATATGTATGTGGAAAGACATGCTACCAACGTAATTTAAAGTTAAAGACAAATACGCCTTAGTTGAAGATACTATTTTGCCCTTTTTACCTAAATAGAACTAGACTTCAGATGACCCACACTCCACCCCCCAACCCAAAAGATACACACACACACACACACACACACACACACACACAATGCACAATGTCTTTGGAATAATGGTGAACTTCAAGTTATTTAATCAATGCTTATATTTACCTCCCTTCCTCCTTTTCCAGGTAACAATTTCCTCTAATGACAGAGAGACAGACCAGTATGTAAAGAAAAGAACATTGGCTTTAGAATAAGGAAACTTAGATCCTGAATCTTGGCTCTTGCCACTTAATAAACTAGATGGTTGTAGGCAAGTTTCATCCCTTCTCTGATCTTCAATTTTCTCAACTAGAAAATGGAAATTTGCCCAGTCTACCTCTGCAGACTATTTTGAGAAAAGCATTTCACATGTTGTTGATAAATGGAAGCTATTATTACGTGGGGACAGCTAGGTCCCCTAGCTCAGTGGATAGAGTGCCAAGCCTGGGGTTAGGAAGACTCATCTTCCTGAGTTAAATCTGGCCTCAGACACTTAATAGCTGGGTGACCCTGGGCAAGTCACTTAACCCTGTTTGCCTGAATTTCCCCATCTGTAAAATGAGTTGGAGAAGGAAATAGCAAACCACTCCAGTATCTTTGCAAAGAAAACTACAAATGGGGTCACAAAGAGTCAGAAACAACTGAAATGACTAAACAACAACAACACAAAATTGTTATGTGGGATGGTAGAGGAGTAGGAAACATTTAAGCATCTCCTATCCAAGATCCTGTGCTAGACTTTGGGTAACAAGACAAATAAGACACGTGAACCATCCCCCTTCCCTGGCCCTTGGAGAGTTTCCAGTTGATCAAGCTTAAATAGCATTTTTAATGCTATATCAATGAGATAATAATTGTAAAGCTGTTAGTACATGGTCCCTAGGTGCATAGTAAATACCATATAAATGTTAGCTATTAGCTATTATTTTAATCACCATCAAATCCTATCTTGATTGGTATGTAGGTATGCGCAAAACTAAAATTCTGCTAGTAAAAAAGGCATGAAATTGGATAACTGCAATCTATTCTGTATTACAGGTGGTATTTATATCTGCTTGTCTTCCCACAAAGCAGTTTTTTATGAATGTTGGAGCAAGTTACGAACTAAGCTGGATAATTTAGTTAAAGCAAACTTTTTATGATGCACAAAGATTTGGGGCAAAATCATCAGTTGGGAATGGAGCAGCTCTGAGAAAAACCAGCTGGGGGTATCAAAAGAAATCTTTGTTGCTATCTGTTAGAAAGAAGATATCATCGAATTTTTGTCCTTTGTTTCACTCACTACAAAGCAATTAGCCATAGGTGAATATAGGAAGCACCAGTGTGATTCCAGAGTAGGGGTATTCCTCCCACTTCCATCAAGGAAGATGCCACTCATCTAAGCTTTGATAAGTTCTAGGGGCTTGCCTGAGGCACAACTAGGAAGTTAAATAATTTGCTGAGTCACACAACTAGTAAGTGCTAGAAGCAGGGTCAGGATGGGAACCCAAATCTTTTCTATGCCAAGCCAAGCACTGTGCACTGCCATGCTGACTCTATAACTGGCAGTTACTATAAGGCAGAAAAAAACCTCAGTATCTAGAGTGGGAAAGGACCCTGGAGGTCATCTACTCAAAATACTGCCCAAAGATGAAATGCTCAAATATCTTCCTAATTACACATTTTAAGTCCTCTCCTCATAACACAATCATAATTATCAAAGGAATCCATCACTTACCTCCATATCCTGGTGTAATTGGAAGGTTTCTCATAAAGACTGGTGATGGGTGCTTGTTTTCTTGAAATGGGTCCATGTTTTCTTGAAATGAATTAAATCAATGAACACAATCATCTACTGTGTATAGGGTCCTGTGCTAGGTATTGTAGGGTCCACAAAGATTAAACAGGCATGACTGGTACAGTTGTGAATCTGGACTTCTAACAATCAAGGCCATTTATGTCCATAAAAAACAAGAGATAAAGAGTCTTTAGGTATAGATATAACTGGCTGTTGGCTTCCCTTAGAAAGCAAATCTAATGAAAACTTCATTTTCAAACAGCTCAATTAACAAACTCATTTCTTTGGCATGATTCAAAACCTGCATGAGAGCCATAACATACATATTAAAATAATTGAGCTCTGCAAGGCTACAGGAAACATACAAGTAGATTGTCACTGTGTCCTACTGGCTTACAGCACATCACCTTGGGACATCTTACCTTGCTTTCTTCAAGAGAGTGGGAGAACTGGGCTTTTAATAATTTCAATGTACAGCACATCTGTTTCTTATTAAGTTAGCAGCCCTAGAATAACAATAATAATAACTTGCACTTTTGTAGTGCCTTACTGTCCCCCAAATGCTTCATGTATATTATCTTATTTGAACCTCATACCACAGCCTTGAGAGGTAGGTAGCACAAATTTTATTAACCCCATTTTATAGATGAGGAACCTAAGCAACAGTAAAGACAGTAAAGAAAGACTCACGGATGGAAACCTTAATAAAGAGCGTCTGAATAGGAGTCAGGAGATCTGGGTTCTAGTCCCAGTTCTGCCACTGAGTTCATATGTGACTCAGGTAAACTTTCTCTGTTCCTATTTTCTGCTCTGTAGATTTAGAGGATTGAACAAGACTTTAGCTAAGGTCCCTTTGAACTCTAATGTTCTATGATTTTATAGGGACTTATGATTGTGTGCTGCTGAGGCTCTAGATCCTAGGTGGCTGGCAGGCATCCTCCCACATGGGGCAAATCCCCCCAGTACCCAAGTGCTGCCTTAATAATAAGATTAATCAGGTGGCCTTTTATATATTAGTGGAGTAAATTAAGATGAGAGGGGCCACATACATTTCTATCTTTGTATCTACATGAGATCTGGAAGTTGGGAGGGAAGGTGAGGGGGAGAGAAACAGGATTGAGGATAACAAAGAAATCATTCCAAACACAAAAGGAATGACAGGAATGAGATCCTGCTTATCCTTTCTTTATCTGGTGATATATGAATGTGAGCAATTGCCTGTGTTAGCAACTCTTTTCAGTGATGCAGATGAGCAACTTGTATTTAATTTATAGTTTTTTGGAGATGACTGGGGGCACTAGAAGATTTAGTGATTCTCCTATGGTCATATAACCAGTAGAACTTGAAGCCAGGTTTTCCTGATTCCAAGGCTGACCCTTTGTCCACTATTCTAGGCTGTCACGAAGCTTCTCTGGAGAATTTTTTTTTTCTTTGTTGGTGGAACAGAGTGGGTCATCTAGTGTCAATGAATAAAAATGTGCTTGGGGTAAAATTATTCAATTGTGCTGATTATGTCATTAAAGTTTGCTGATTATAAGTACAGTTTAATACCAGTGCTTCATTCTGTTTTGAGCAGTCTGATGGGCTCTATGTCCACAACAAAAGAGAACCATTGCCTGTATTTCTTATCAGCATAGCCATGGCTTTCCCAAAGCTAACCCGAATTAGCTTAGAGCCTCCCTCTAAGCATATTTAATATAGAGAAATTAAATGAGATTGTGAATGTAAAAGTGCTTTGCAAATAGCAAAGGGCCTAAATCATCATAGGGAAATACTTGGACTCATTAGAATTACACACTATCATAACTGCAGGTCAGAAGTGATGTGGTGGAAACCCTTACTGAAGCATACATTCTCAAGAGGGTAGCAGTCATTCATCCTCTGCTTGAAAACAGACTGCAAAAGATATCTCTGGAGCTAGCCCTATTATACTGCCTTTCATCTCTGAGTCTCTATTTCCTTCTCCAAGGACATCCCTGCCCCTCCCCAAACCTTGCAAAGAAGCTTCTATCAGAAGTTGAAGGGGCTTTATAGATCAACATTTTCATTTTACAGAAGGAGGCAATGTTGTACAACTGTCTAGAGTGAGAATTTGATCCTGATCCTGATACTGCTTGTGTTATCAATTGCCCACATCACTTAACCTCGATGGACCTCAGTTTCCTCATCTGTAAAATGATGGGGTTGTACCAGATGGCCTCTGGGGATCCTTCTCAGTTCTAAATCTAAGATCTTATGACACCAATGTGCAAAGAGAGGAAACAACTTGGCCAATGTCCAAGAGCATGCAGTACTCATCCAAACAGTCCTTTTCTTATAATTGTCCTTTCCCAAAAAAGAAAACCCACTAGCCTTGAGGTTAGAACACCTGGCTTCAAGGCTGGGCTCCAACACTTGCCAGCTGTGTGACCTTGGGCAAAACACCTCACCTCTCTACGACTTTTTTCCCTCTCCTGTAAAATGAGTATGTATATCATCTTTCCTACCTAACTCACAAGGCTGTTTTGAGGATCAAACGAGTTAATGATTGTGAGAACACAAAATCTCTACTGTTATACATCCTCTCAAACAAGGTCAGGAATTCAAGTACTCATTCCACCGTGTGCTGCGGAAGCTGAAATGGAGAACGCATTCTCTAAGAGGGAAAGATTTTTGCAAACCTCTAGTAGAGAGAACGAGGCTAAGGAGGACTGGGGGAGAAGATAGGGTGGGGTCGGGGTGGAGATGGGGAATCGGAGTGGATCCTAAGACAGCAGACCGGGAAGGTGAACTCAGGGGTCCCAGGACTGGGCGGGAACAGGGTAAAGGACCAGGGCAGGGGCGGTGAGGAAGGCTTACCCCCAGGGCTGCCCGAGCTAGCAGTAAATAGCTGCCGCGCTGGAATAGACTTGGCGCTGCTCGCCGGTACTTGGCCAGGGCCCCCAGAGTGATCCTACAGAGAGGCCCCACCCCTCGCCCCATGGCCTCTCCCCAACATTGTGCGCTCAGTGCGTCCTTAGCTCCGTCACTCCCAGCTGCTGGAGATGAAGGTGTGGGGCAGCCCCTCAGCACCCTTGCGCTGGCTGCGTCCTTCCCCAAGGTTGGAAATTCCAGTCTAAGTCCCTGGGTGGGATTCGAAAAAGGATAGTCAACTCCCCACCACCACCTTGACAACCACCAGGCCAGGTGGAACAAGCAGCCCCAGCAGGGCACTGCTTGCGTTGGGACCAGGTTGGATGCTATGCTTGCTTGGTTTGTAAGAGCGAGGTATAAGCGCTAAGCCCAGGGTGAAGTGAAGCGAGTGAAACCCGGGTACTTTGGGTTTAGAATTTGGAGTCCTGTTTAATGATCAGCTCCTGAGCAAAGGGATGGAACGGGTGCACTAAACAGAGTCCTGGCCCTGGGGTCACAGGTTTGGGGTCCAAATGCTGTTGTTGCTGCCACTAATAATAGCTGGCTAGCATTTCTCACAGTGCTTTAAGGTTTACAAAGCGTTTAACATTAAACGTTAAACAACTCTTTAAGGTTTATGGTATTGTCATTATCATTTTACAGATGAGTAAACTGAATTTGAGAGGGGTTGACTTACCCAGAGCCAACAGCTAAGGAAGTGTCTGAGGATGGATTTGAACTCAGATCTTCCTCGGACCAATCAGCTAACCTCACTGTGTTTCAGTTTCAAAATTTAAAAGAAAAAAATGAGTAGGCTGTAGCAGATGGCCTCTAACGTACCCCTTCAGCTCTAAATTTACGAACTTTAAGAGTGAGCAGCAACGTGAAATGGGATGAACATAAAATCTGGTGGAATAATCAATCACTGTGCTAGGCTCTGGGAATATAGACAATGAAACAATCCAGTAAAAGCAACTCATTTATATGTTGTTCTAAAATTTGTTTCTCGCACACGTTCTGGTTCGCATAGAAGATGCGTGGGAGGGAGAAGGGACGCATCCTTCTTGGACTACATTTCCCAGAAGGCGATATATCAGAATCCCTTCAGAGAGCAAAGGCAATCACCGAGCGAAGACTCTGATTGGTAGGGAATCTTGGATAGTTGGGAAGTTTAAAAAGCAATTGAGGGATCAAAAGGAAACTTCTGGATAAGTATTGACATCCTCTTAGAACTGCAAGTCTGGGTCTAGAGAGGATCCAGCAATTCATTAAACTTGACCCTTGTATCATGGATCCTTTTGGCGATCTGGCGAGGTTTATAAAGCAGAATAATGTTTTTAAATGTATCACATAAAATACACAGAATTACAAAAGGAAACCAAAAGATAGTGAAAATAAAGGTGCATACCCCATTCCTGCCCTATCCAAGTTCACAGACTACTGAAACCCCTACCTTAGGGTATTTTACCCCTGGACTGTATGAGTTCCTAAGTGACTGCTAAGTCCCTTTCCCAACATGTTGGGGTTGGAGGATTAGTCCGAACATGGAGTAGGGAGAAAATTAGATAACTCCCTGCAACATATACTTGGTTGCACCCGTTTATGTCTAATTCTTTCATTATTTATATTGATTTTGTGTACTTTTGCTATTAGAGTTATGGATCCTGTAGTGGTTAAATAAAGTGTTAAGTTGATATTGGCTTAACCTATGATTTGCAAAACTTATTACCTACCTTGCATCTCACATTTAAGCTGAGAAAAGTAGCAAGGGGCTCCAGAACCAGAATTTTCATTGGCCCAGTATTACATTCTGGTGAAGGCTGGTCAGTCAATAATTATTTATTAAGCACTTACTATATACCAGGGTCTGTGCTAAGTGCTGGGAATACAAATACAAGCAAAAAGGTGTGCTCAAAGAGCTTACATTCTAATTGGGAAGACAGTACTTGAAAGGAAGCTGAAAAGAGGGGAGGGAAGAGAGGTGGGAGGAAAGCAAATACCTGCCACAGGATATGATCAGGAAGTCCAAAGGAGTGAAGTGTGGTGGGAAATGACAAAATGCCTGGCCTGGCTGCCCTCCTTAAATGGGGGCATCCTGTAGTTACTTTGAATGGAATGTCTTTCTCATTTCCTCCTAAATTTTGT